TTGCTTTTCTCCTTTAGAATCATTAATCATAAAATATAAGCCAAAAGTCACCTTAAAGATTATCTGATTCAGTTGAATCCCTCACTTTATGGATGAATCCCAGAGAGGCCCCAAGGTCTGCCTAAAGTCATATGCCACAACTAATAGAAGCAGAGCCGACCTACTTCTAGTACAACAAATGCCTGGCTTGTCTTTGGACTCTTAAAATTCAGAAAGATTAATTTACAAATCATTTCTCTACTTGTGCACCTTAGAGCGCGAGAAGTCAAATCCAGGAGAAGGAAACAAGTTCTCTCTGACTGGGATATCTCGTTTCCTTGTCTTTTTTTTTTTTTAAACATGAGAAAAAAAACCAACAACCTCACAGTACTTGAGTAAGGCAGTACCATTGTTATTTCGAACGCTTCAGTATTTAGTAGAGGCTGTGTAGACCGTGGCTTGCAAGAGCAGTGGTCAGCAAAAGTGAGCCACTGAGCTCTCTTTATACTTTTCATTGTCTCAAATCAGAAATTAATAGGAGAATGACACCTATGTGAAGCCCCATTTGGGTGAAATGGCAGTGCGTGTGATGAATTACGTGTGTTTCTATGGCAGCTGTAACTTTTCCAAGTTCTCAGAAGAGATGTAAAACAGTTATAACCAATCCTATGTTATTTAGCAGTTTAATGTCCAGTTTGTGGATAATCCAGCCCCCTTGCTGATGCTCCCCTGCTTCCTACCTTTTTGCCAATTTTTTACTGATTAACACCTTCAGATTTGTGGGAAAGGGCAAGGAGGAGAGAATAAGTAATTCTGTCAGGCTTGCTCCCTCTTGACAGCAGTAATAAAAGCTTAGGAGAACGAAAGATTTAAAACAAGTAGCCAAAAAAAAAAGTCCAGAATTATCTGGGCTTAATTATTCAATTATCTCTGCTATCCTGCTTCTTTGCTACTACCGATAATGAATAATTATTTCACATTCAGATGCCTGCTACCCTTGTAATCCTTTCAAATAGATATTATCCACTGTTGTTGAACTTTTAAAATTGTATTCAGGCTTCAAGCTGCCATTTTTTTCTTTATCTCTGACATGTAAGCAGGACTCATAGAATCATAGGCTATTTGAATTGAGAAAGACTTTTAGAAATAATCTGTTAAGACCTCCTCATTTTATGGATGAAGAAACAGACCCAGGCAGGGGAAGCCAGTAATTCAGTCTGTAAACATTTATTGTTGTTGTTCATTCGTGTCTGATGCTTCATGACCCCATTTGGGGTTTTCTTGACAAAGATAATGGACTGGTTTGCCATTTCCTTCTCCAGCTTATTTTACAGATGAGGAAAATGAGGCAAACAGGATCAAATGACTTGCCCTGGGTCACACAGTTACTAATTATCTGAGACCAATTTGAATTCATGTCTTCTAGGCCTGACACTCTATCCACTGGCACCACCTAGCTGCCTGAAAACATTTATTAAATGACTACCGTGTGCTAATCAATAGGGATAAAAACTTTTTTTTTTGTTTTTTTTGTTTTTTCGTTAGGCAGTGAGCTTAAATGACTTGCCCAGGGTCACACAGCTAATCTATGTCAAGGGTCTGAGGCTGGATTTGAACCCAGATCCTCCTGACTCTAGGGCCAGTGCTCTATCCATTGCACCACTTAGCTGCCCCTATTAAAGACATTTTTTAAAGGCAAAAGACAGTCCCTGCTCTCAAGGGACTCACATAAATAGAAAATAATGAACACAGGGAAGGCATCAGCATTAAAAGGAGGATTGGAAAAATCTTCCTCTAGAAGGTGGGATTGTAACTGGGACTTGAAGGAAGCCAAGAGGCAGAGGTAAGAGGAGAGATCATTTCAGTCACGGGAGGTAGCCAGTGAAAATGCCCCGAGTCAGGAGATGGATTGTCGTGTTCAAGAAATGACAAGGAGTGCAGTGTTACTGGTCCAGAGTACATGGTAGGGTGTAAAGGTGTGTGGGAGGGAGAGGCATGGTTAGCAAGAGCTTTAAAATTTCGATTATTTTATATTTGATCCCGAAGGTGATTGAGTTGGGGGTGGGGGTGACATGGTAAGACCTGCACTTTGGGTGGATTGATTCCTGAAGGGGGGTTGAGCTGGAGTGGGGAAAGATTTGAGGCAAGGAGACCTATCCAGAGGCTATTATGTGAAGTGATGAGTGCCTGTGGGCAATGTCAGAGGAGAGAAGGGGGAGCATATGGTAGAGCTTACAGGACAAAATCAGTAGGTCTTGGTAAAAGACAGGATGTGGGGTTTAGTGAGAAAGGGAGGGTGTGACACCTCGTTTTCAAGCCTGGATGACTCAACAATAAGAGGGACGTTAGAGGGGAAGATGATGAGTTCAGTTTTCAACATGTTGAATATCAGGTGTCTACAGGACAGCTAGTTCTGGATGTCCAGTAGGCAGTTGGAGGTGCTGATACTGGAGGTTAGGGATAGATTAGTAGATTTGAGAATCATCAATGTAGAGATGATAATTGAATCCTTGGGAACTGACGAGATCTCTTAGTGAAATAGTATAGAGGGAGAAGAAAAGAGGACCCAGGGTCATAAAACAAATTGTGTTCACAAAATAACTTACTGGCCAAGAAAAGGCATTCAGACTAAAGGTTATCTGGCTCTTTGGCTTGAGTTTTTCATCGTAACAGAATTAGTATCTTGATCTGCTTCCAGAATCCATGTTCTCCTTTAATTGTTACAGTACTCTCTCAAGCAAGAATAAACACCAAGACCATCAGAGTTTAGACTGAGTATAATCTCCAGTAATACATAGGTTAGTGTTGTTACCTTTTGGTCTCATGGAAGAAGCCAGAGGGTCTGAAAAATATGCCTCAACTTACATGGGTAAGGCACTGGATTGAGAGTCATGGGAACCGATTTCTGTTCTCAACTTTGCCATGAATTTGGCTGTGTGCTTGTGAGCTAATCTTTTAACTTTTCTATACCACAGCTGTGAAATAAGAGAGTTGGCTAAGATGATCTCTGAGCTCCTTCTCATCTTTAGAATTCTGTGACTTAGGTGGAATCCAGGGACTTTACTACTTTAAAAAAGAATACTAAAGCCTAATTAGATATAATGCTGTTAGAATTGTTGGAGCAATAGTGTGCCCATCCGGTCATTTATCACTGCTAATATTGCTTCCACCCCTACAGTTTTGGGATGTGGCCTGTTAGTCAAGAAAACCTCATCGAGGCCTAGGTCTGAGTTCCAGTGTGAGTGCTGGCCCCACTTCTGTCTGAGTCTTCTCCTTTGAGGAGACCCATTAACACTTCCTGGGGAAAAAATCACATTCCTGACATGTGAAATGATGGGAAAATGACAGGGCCGAACTTAGATCAAATCTTCTAGCTTAGTTGAAGAAAAATGTGCAGATTTGGTTTGGCACGACTTTTTCTGACTCCATGTGGAGTGGAAAATGGGCTTAGTTCACTTCATGCTGCTCAATCTAATTTGAAGTAATTCGGGAATTCCTAGGTTCTTGGGGACAGAGAGCTTGCCTCCTTAGAGCCTTGTTTCCTGGCAGTTGAGAGTAAAGGATTAAATTGAGCTGAAACCCAATTGATTGACATTTTGACACCCAGAAAATTGTAAAAAGAAAGGGGATTTTCTTCAGTTTTTTTAAATGGTTACTAGTAGAAAAAACTCTCCTAAAAGTATCCAAGTTTGCAAAGAGGACTTAACATCCTCTTATTTAAAGGAGGGGGGCAAAAAAAAAGACGTAAAGCCTGGAGATGTGCACTAACACTTTCACAGTCTCACAGAGTTTTAACTTCAAGAAGGGTTTGAAAAGACCTGGATGGGAGCATTAAAGCTGGCTAGCTCTGCTGAATTGGCAATGCCAGAGATCTTTCAAGGAGAAACAAAGAGCCAGGAACTTCTGAGTGTCATTTTAGGAGTCTCTGTGTAAAAGACAAGTAGACAAATTGATGAAATTATAGCAGTCATTTTTTTTTTAGATGCAAAAGGTCTTAATTCTGTACAGTATTGAGTAGTGCACACTGCCTGGAGGCCTCCTTTCAGACAGATAGAGATGATTACTCTACCATCATCTACCCTGAATAGCATATTTTCAGGTTGACTTCAATAAACTCTCATCTCTGCATAAAGGGAGCTATGCTCACTTTAATAACACCATTTTAAATAGGCATGGTGCTTCTTTTGAACGCAATGGGAGATTGTAATAAATTGCAACCTGGAAGAGGTTTCAGACTGGCAAGTTGGGCAGATATTTTAAGCAATTGATTTCAGGGTGTATCAGCAGATTTTTTTTTCTTACATTGCCATTTGTGTGCCTGCTGACACAGCCTGAATAAATATTACAAGTGGCCACTCTTCCTAGAGATGAACAAATCATGATGATGGATGGGCTAAAGTCTGCTTTAAGATCCAGCACCTTTGGTTGCTTCTTGCCCATCTGATTAACCCCCAAAAGAGAGCCTCCAGATAACAGATCTTCTCTAGAGAACAGTATTGCATATTTATGCCCTTCAGATCCTGCAGTTAGTTTTGAGTTTTATAAGATCAGCTAATTGTTGATTGACTAAGTCAAATGAATCCTTCCTTTTTGAGTTTCTGCATCATCCCCATTGGCATTACTTTAAAATTCATAACTTTAGAGGGAAGTAGATCCAACAAATCAATCAACCAAAGAATAGGTTCCTGTTTCTGGACCCTGGCACATGCAATTTCAAACAACAGCAAAGTCTTTAAAGTGATTTTTATTTCTGAAACAATTTTAGGGCATTTTTTCCCTCTTAGAAAATTCTAATGACTAGGTCTATGGCCAGTGTTTTTGAAGTTAATGTTTCTTGGTGTGTTTATTTAAACTTGTTTTCTGATTCTGAAATTCCTGTGGCAACCTTATTGTTTCTGTGTTTTTTAAGTCAAATAAACACCCATCAGGGGCTAAACACTTGCCTAAAAATTAGATTATCTGATGAGTCAGAAGAAAGAAGGGGAGTTATTAACTGGTTAGATTAGAGAGAAAAGTCATACCTGCTATCACCTTCCTGGTGCCATGGTTCTCTTCCAGAATGAAGGACAAACAGCAAGATTAGAGGGGGCCCAAATCGCCTGTATTTGGTATTTCTGAAGGAAAACAAAAATCGAATGGCATGAAGCAGTCCTGTCATTCAATGTGGATTTTAAACCCAAATAATGAAATCTCAAAAACAGTGGCTTTGAATCTTTCAGGCGATTGAGAAAATGAGATTTGGTGTTGCATTAGTGTACAAGGAACATATTTAAGGGATTGTAGGAAGTACAACCCTTTTCATAAAACATTCCTTTCAGTAAAATGCGCTTTTCCCGGCTGGGCGCACTCACGCATTCACTTCGGAGCCCCACCGATCTCCTCCTGGGCTTGGCAAGCCCAGTGGCCCCCGCTGCCCGTCTGGGGGTCCTGTGCCAGCGATGGCCCAGTGCAAGCAGGGGACAGCTCAGCCACCATAAGGGGGCCCGGTGCCCCTGGGCAGGCTGGCTGCCAGCAGCTCAGCTTTGGCCTCTGAGGCCCGTCCCCCACCCCGACTCCCGCTGCCAGGGCGGAGCCCCAGGGTGGGCCGTCCCTACTTTGTCCCCGGGCCGCCCCTGCGCACTGCGTCCCGCCCCGGACGGACAGGCGGCCAGCCCGCCCGCGGGAGGGGGAGCTCCAGAGCTCAGCCTGGCCCCAGCCAACCTCCGGGCCCCAAGCAAACCAAGGCAAAGCAAAGTGCTGGGTAGCGAGAGCCTACGCTGGGGCCCCAAGCCCTGGCCAAGTTGCCGCTGCCTGCACATCTGGCACCACTGGAACTCTGGCGCTTCTAGCTGCGGGCCAGGCTGAGCTGGGCTGGACGGACGCAAGGAACTGCTACTCCTCTCTGTCCGCCTCGCGTGCCCCCCCAGCCGGGCTCCGTTCTAGGAGCCCGCCTCATGATTGAGCACGGGAGCGGGAGAAAGGAAGGCGGCCCCCCAACCCACCTGCAGCCTTGGTGTCCCCGACATGATCCCCTACTTCTCCGCCAACGCGGTCATCTCCCAGAACGCCATCAATCAGCTGTGAGTATGAGCTCCCGGCTCGGGCTGGCTTTCCCACTTGTCTCTTTTCCTGTAGGCTTGCGGGACCCAGTTAGAGCCCCTGATTTACCAGGTGGAGGAGGCTCCAGCGGCAGCGCTAGCCGCCTGTATTTGAGGGGTGGGGGGCGAGAAAGAGAACAGAAAACCTTGACTTGAGCACTTTGAGATCACCAGGTGTGCCCTGAAAGATATGGAAAAGGGTGGGGTAGGAGGGAGTAGTTTACAGTAGCAAAAGAATGGTAGAGCTCGAAAAACACCTCATTTGTAAGAATCTCAAGTTGAGTCTTTGGAAGAGCGAAGAAACTTCAAAACTCAGAGCTTGTTTTCTGGGATACCAGAGGCTGAAACGATGAGAGCTTGGGCAGTGCCTATGTGTAATGGGTCCCCAATCAAATCAAATGAGATGACATTTATAAAGCACTTAGCACAGTACCAGGCACATAGTAGGCTCTTAATAAATACAAGCATTCCTTTCACCTTCCCTTCCCCCCAAATGGAAATCTGGGTGAAGGGCAGTCACCTAAACATCAGGATTTCCAGCCCGGAAAAGTGTTGTGGAAATCCTGCTGTTGACCGAAGCACTTCATTTTATAAAAGTTTGAACTCTCTGACGTGCTAGTGGAATCTCCAGAAGAGGGTTAGGAGTTTGGGTCTGGAGTTATTTTTGGGAAGTAGACTTAAGTAATCTGACTGAGTTTATTTGGTTTGTCACTAGTAGCATAGAATGCGCTCCTGATGACCCAGAACCAGTGGTTTTCAACACAGCCTACTAGAGCCTCCTGTGGAGGCAGCAATTTAGTCCGTGAAATGAAGAGGTTATTCCTGAACTCAGCAGAAATAAGCACATGTGAAAGCTCTTGTCACTTGAATGCTTCTCTTGACTTTGTCCTAAGTCTCTGCTGTAGCTCAGCTATATCTGAGAAGTGTGTGAGATGCAAAGGGGTCATCTTGCCTGGGACAGTTGGAAAGAAACAAGTAGAGAAAACCCTCCCTGCCCATTGTAGCTGGATCTTCAAATAAGTGGAATGGGCTGGTGGGGGTTACTGAAGCTAAGAGCAATTGAGCCTGCTTTGGGTGTTTTAGAGAAGTAAACATGGAACCCCTGCTAAAACTGCCATCGAATTCTTAACTTGGTTGTGAAAAGCTGCTTTCTGACTGTCTGGTCAGCCCTATATCAGCTGAATTCTGATACAGCTAACCTTCACAGTTCTGTATACTGTCTGTCTGTCTGTCTATCTATCTACACACATATACATATATACATAGCTGTTATAAAGGAAAATAAGTCTTAACCAATCTCTAAACCAAATTTATTTTAGCCAACACTCACCTTCCCCTCCCACCACATCTTTGACTAACTTTGGAGACAAGTAGACTCCTTTGACTGACCGCTTTCTCCCCTGGAGAAAGTGCTAATGAAATAACCAAAAGTTGAACCAAGATAGAAGAGAATGCATGGATAATCCAGGAGCTCTCAAATGGCAGAGCTGCTTGGACTTTGCCTTTTTTTTTTTAAGAGGAAGTTTGAGCTTGTTTGAGAAAAGTAAGACTTTTACATTTATGCTTCCTATCCTCCTCACACACATACAACATGATGTCCTCAGTAGCCTGCAAGGTCACTTATGCAATTTGGCAGTTATAGGAATAATCTTTAACTGCTGACCTACTACTTGCTACTGAAAATCATTAGTCACTACACTGAGAAAGACTTGTCTTGTTCCTAAAATGAATAAGTTAAAAAAAATATAGACAGTGCAAAAATTCTAAAACAAGCTTCAAAGGAATATACATATATGGCTCCTTCTGTTTTGGACTTTTCTCTTGGCATTTATTTTTCTTGACTAAGACTTGGTCATTTTCATTGAAACTGTCCTCAAATTTACTACTGCTTCTCTGGAGTCAACATGTGAGTATTCACAATACCTTGCCCAGCAGCAAGAAGGATATTAAATAAGTGTTTATAAATCTCTTAAAAATCTTTTTTTGTTTTAAACTTAAACAAATGCATTGAAAGGGTCATCTTAGTAATTCTTTCCACAGGGTCTAATCCACTAAACCTCAACAGGAATGAAGATTCCTCTCTATGAATTGGCTACTCATAGAGACAACATTGAATGAGTGACTCCTGTGGGTTGGTGAAAGATGTGTCCTATGAACTTTGTCTTTGGAAGATTTAGTAGCCTAAGTGACTGGCTTCTCAGTTCTAGGGAACCTGGGTAGGAAAAGGTGGGACTTTGTCACTTGCAAGGTCATGAGACTATTAAGGGAAGTGTGAAGAGGCCATTCTCATAGGTATTCCTAGGATTTAGAGGTGAAAAGCACCCACCCCCATTTTAGGGATGAAGAAACTGGAAATCAAAAGAAAGTTATAGAATCATAAGGGACCTTAGAGGTCATCAGTTTCAAACCACCCTTTTTACAAGTGTAGATACTGAGACCCAAAAGAGGATAAATGACATGTCCCAGGCCACACAAAGTCATAAGAGTGAGCTTGGTGGTGGTAGGAGGGGGGGTCTCTGAATCTAAATTCAAGGTTTCAGTGCTTGAGTTTTCCCTTTAGACTGCCTTCTAATCAGAACCCTCACAGGACAAATTGTTTTTAATAGCAGAGATTTCTGGATAGCTGAAGGTTTATCATCTTCAACATCAAAACTTTCTTTTTTAATTTAGCCATTTTGTTTAGAAACATTTTTGAAACACATTACATGTTTCCTTCCTTTTTTAAACAGATGATCTCAAATTTAGCCTCTTGATTAAGGCCAAATGATTAAGAATGATTAAGAATATGATGGCCACAGGAATTCTTGAAGGAGTGTTAGATGATTCACCCTTATACCGAATGGATGCTGTCCACCATGACTTTTTTGTGGTCTTCACCCATTTTCAATTTTCTGCTTCTCATCTGCCATGGGCTTGTAAACTAATTAACCAAGAATGTTAGAACTGTGAGTAAAAGAAGAGTATGGGTTCTTGGTGGGATTCTTGAATGAGTGAGTGCCTAAGCTTTATTAATAGACATTGCTCTCTATTTCTGCTCTCTTCCTTCTCCTAATACTACCTTGCAATTTATTTTGTATATCCTCATTTATGTACATGTTTTCTCCTCCATTCGAATGTTAGCTCCTCAAGGACAGGGACAGTTTCTATTTTGCTTTGTATCCCCAGTGCTTAATACAATCCTGTCACAGAATCTGAGTGTTTGTTGATTGATTCTGCTGGTCAGGGGCCTTGTTTGCTCACTTTTCCCTTCACTTTTGTGATTGAGGTAAATGAAACATGACACAGTGAGACTCTGAATTTGGAGTCAGAAGACTTGGATTCAAATCTCAGCTCTGTTTTTTATTACCTGTGTGTTCTGGGGTAAAGCTACTTAACCTCCCTGGTTGTGAGATCTTGTGATATCCATGGGCCATCAGAGGCAGCTAGGTGGCTCAGTGGATAGAGTGCTGAGCCTGGAATTAGAAAGACCTGAGTTCAAATTTGGCTTCAGAGACACTCACTAGCTGTGTGACCCTGGGCAAGTCACTGAACCTTAATCCACTGGAGAAGGAAATAGCAAACCAGTCTAGTATCTTTGCCAAGAAAACTTCATGGATTGTATTGGCATGCTGTGGTTCCAGGGGTCAATGGCATGACTGAATGGCAGTGTGAACCAGGAGATTCTATTTGGTGTCCTTCCTCCAAGGTGCTTTCCAGCTTGAGCCTGTGAGCCAATGATTTTAAGTTGCTGAGTGGCTGAATCCTGGAGATCAGAAGTTTTTTCAGCCATTTCCTCATGAGAAAAGAGCAATTATTCTCAATTCTTTTTTTTTTTTAATTCAAAGACCACAGATTTCTCTGTCACTGTGTAAAACATCAATGTTAATGGAAAACTTGGAGTTGATTTTGGTTAGACACCAATGAGGGGCATTAGAAGTAAGTTAATTGGTGCTCAGACTCAAAGAAAGTGTCAACACTATTAATATAGGCTTAGACACAACAAGAAAGAAGCCCATTTTGCTCAGATCTAATTTTAAGAATCTGGAGTCAGCCTGAAGACAGAGGAAGGTGGAAAGTCCCCAAGACCTTTAACAATATGCTAAGGCTGTATACCATGGGCTAGACTGTCCATACTTTTGAATGTAATAAACATCTTAATTTCCCAATAAATTGAAATTGCTTTGTTATATAGCAAGCAGACATACAGTCCCCGAGAGGAGGTCACGAAGCAGAGACCTGGTTGCTCTTACTCTTCGCCAGACATGGCTTGTCTAGAAATAAGTTGCTGTTTTTTATGGTCTGGAAAGTTCAAGGATCATGAATAATTAGATAAAATGCTGGCATGAGCCATAATTGAAACAATGTTCCTATTATGAAAAACTCAACAACAGAACTCTTGGAATTTCTGGACTCTAGACATCACTTGATTTGTTAATGAGGTTCCTTTAAGCCTTTTTATCCTTGACCTGAAATATTTGTCCATAGTTATTTGGTTTCATTTATAAATGTGTTTGATGACTTAGCAGCTGTACATCAGGAGTTTAGAAAGCCTGGAGCATAACAACAGATGGGCTTGTCAGGATGAGACTCCAAATTGTTCCTCTTCAAGAAAGTAGAGATCTGGCAACCTTTTCATTCTCGTATTAATGATGATCAAGATGCTTGCATTCATATAATGCTCTTTATTTTTCAAGGTTAAATCACATAATTTCATTGGATTTTGCTCACAGAGAGATTTTGCAGATGAGGAAAACAGCTCGGAGACATTGCATAGATTGTAAGAGGTTTCAGTTTTGTATAGCTCTGCTTGGATGTCGCTAGCTCTCAGGCCAACTGCTGGAGGACTCCTCTTTGCAAAGCCCTTTTGATTACACTCACATCATGCTTCGATATATCGGTAACCTTAGCTTTCTAGCTCCAAAATGGCATTCGGTTTGGTACTTATACTAAGTAACGGTTGTAGAGAGTAAAAGAATATCTGCTCTAATTATGTTGCACAGTTG